GCGCGACCTTCACGTAAGGCACAGGGGTCATGAAGCACAGCACTCTAACCACACTGGAAGGGCCACTGGGGGGTTCCAAGTGCTCTTCGCTGAAGAATAACCGCAGTGATAGTTGCCACACCATTGGACAAAAGTAGGTCACTCAATAGAACTCAATAACCTTATCAATTTTTGGAGATTTTCATCTTTAATAGGATTTATTATATTAAGTTTGAAGAGAAAGAAAAGCAATGTTTTAGATCTTAATTTTCCCCTGTGTGAACACTGTAACTCTCCAGGTAAAGATCTAGGTGAGGCTCAGTGGAATTCTAGCGGGCGCTGACCTCAGAGCCCCAGGCTGCACACTTTACAAAGGCTGATGACAAACTCCTCTCACTCTCCAACACCACCGTGCTGGGAGCAGCAAACAGGGACTAGAAGTAAGTAAACCTCCAGATCATTAAAGCAGCAGAAAAAGAAGACTGTGAAGGAGATCCGGGACACTCCACTCCTGTACAGACCTGAGCTGCTCAATCTCCCACGCTCTCCACAGAGGTCGGTGCTCAGTGGCGCGGTACTAAAGCTGACTACGTTTTCTTCTGACTTGGTAACTTACCTTAGTTGATGAATACTGGTAACTCATATTAGGTAATATTTAAGGTAATACTTAATGTCTGGGGAAAAAACCAAACAGTCATGAACCAGGTAATGATATATTCCACTACGGCCAACTGAAGGAATCAGACAATAAGATACATCCTGTAACAGGGAAAGCAGTTGTTCCATTGGGAGATAAGGCATTCACCGTAAGCTCGACTTAAAAGTACGTAATTTAGCAAAACTTGCCAATAAAACTATAGTCAAGGGTCAGCTGCAACTTCTTTTGTAAACTCCCACGTGGATATTTTAACTCTCTGCCAAGTAAAATAATACACAGTTGGTTTTTCTAAACAATATCCCACGACCATTGCTAATAGGTCACTCTTGCTCAATTAAGTTTTCAGATTTAATTCACGAGAATGACTATCCTGAGAAGTCTCTCTCGAAACCACAGATCAATGAGCAGCTACGGAGCTACAGAGGCATCAGCTGGCAGCACATCACAATGCTGTTCAGAGGCATTTGGAGGGATGAAACAAACTCACAGAATCGGGGACAGGTGCAAACGAGATCCCAATGACGCTGGAATTACTCCCATCCAATTTTAAAGAGTAATACTAGGCCAGTTAATCGTCTGAGTCTGTACCAGATATAATTTCCTTCTGGGTTTTAATCCTGCTGCCTTTCAGCTGTTTGGTTTGGATGATTAGAGCATGTTTCAACAAGGCTGAGGTCGAGACCATACGGGCCAAGACTTCGTGGAGTCGGCAGCTTCACTCCACTCTGAGCTATATTCTGATTCCAGAGTGCTGTCTCATAACCACACTATTCTGGGGGAATTGGGGTAGCTACCCAAACTCCCTGTATTCAGCAATGCTCTAAAAATTACCACTTTTGTGGCCAAGAAAAATTATTTTAAAGTAATAATTATTATTTTGTTTATAAAATTTCTGCCAGTTTCACATCTGGATTCTTTTTGTAACTGATGCTGTAGGATTTTCCAATAGCCTGAACGATACACTCCTATTATGAATGTAGGTTAATAAATTAATATAAAGTATAATCTTTAACCTAAACTACAGCCAAAACCTCCTTACTGGTATCCCTGGAGAGATCTTAATAAAATGCATGCATGATTCTGTGGGTATCCCGTGGATATGGGTGACACTGTGTCCTCTCTTCCAAAATGCATATGTTGAAGTCCTAACCCCCAGTGCCTCAGAATGGGTCGTATTTGGAGACAAGACCTTACAGAAATAGTGGAGTTGAAGGAGGTCATTAGGGCAGGACCTAATATAATACGACTGGGTCCCTTACATGAAGGGGAAACTTGGAGACAAGACATGCACACAGGAGAACGCCACGTGAGCATGAGGCTGGGCACCCACACACCACAGAGAGAGGCTGGAGCAGAACCTTCCCTCATGGCCTTGGAACCAACCTAGCCAATGCCCTGATTTCAGACTTGTGGCCTCCAGAACTGGGAGACAATGAAGTTCTGGTGTTGAAGGCACCCAGTGTGTCGCACATTGTTCTGGAAGCCCTAGGGAACTAACAGAATATCTGTCTAAAGACCGTGATGACTCCCTCCCACCTGAAGCAAAGCTGGCTGTCCACAGGCTGGGGTAGCTCAGACAGGTTTTGTTTTACTTGGAGATTCTTTTAAAAACCCCAGCTAACAACAGGAAACATTAAAAAATAAGTCTGGGTTTCTGGCTTCTCTTTGAACACTGGAAGGCCCCAGCCTCTCATTTCTACACGGCAAGGATTAGCCATGTTGATTCTCAAATGTTACTGAGTGACATGCATGCACACACGAACACATGCTTATTTAGCATCTGCCATCAGTAACAACCCCCTCTGCCCTCTAAAAGGAGGCCTTTGCAACCCGGGAAATGATGCTGATCATCTACCTAAAAATGTAGAAGCAGAAGAGAAAGAACAAAACAGCACAGTATGCAGCAAGCAGTGAACAAAGTAAGCCTGAGACTGCCATGCTCAGAAAGGGCTGCTTCCATGGCTGGCCTCAGCTGGCATCTGAGACTGTCCATTTCAGGAGGGCTCCCAGCATTCCCAGGACATGTAAGAGCAGCTCACTATGCACACAAGGTGTACAAACAAGGTGGTGTATGCTGAGCCTGCTTTCCTTCTGGGACTCTGGAATTTTGGTATCTGCTAGCAGAGGATGTGCGCATGACCAACACTCAACACAAACCTTGGGTGCTGGTGGACAACATCTTAGAAGTATGGTCATATGTCTATGGTCATATGTTTAACAATGGGTACATTCTGAAAAATGCTTTATTAGGCAATTCAGTCCTTGTGGGGATACCACAGAATGCACTTGCACAAAAACAGGTGCTACAGCCTACTACACACACAGGCTGTGTGGTATGACCTATGGCTTCAAGGCTGCAAACCTGTACAGCATGTGACCCCACTGAATACTGCAGGCACATGGAACACAATGGTGAGTATTTGTGTATATAAATATATCTAAACGAAGAAAAAGTGCTGTAAAAATGTGGTATTGAACATAAAAACGGTACACCTGTATCGGGCACTTAGAGTAAATGGAGCTCGCAGGACTGGAAGTTGCTCTGGGTAAGTCAGTGAGTGGTGAGTGAATGTGAAGACCCAGGGCATTACTGTACACTACTCTAGTACAGACTTGATAAATGCTGTACATTTAGGCTACATTAAATTTATGAAAAAGATTTTATGTAATAAAACATTAACCCTAGCTTACTATAACTTTATAAACTTAAAAAAAATTTTAAACTTTTGACTCCTGTAATAATGCTTAGCTAAAAACACACATTATACAGCTGTACAAAAATATTTTCTCTCTTCATATCCTTATTCTACATGCTATTTTATATCTCTTATTTTTTTACTTTTTGAACTTTGTTAAAAACTAAGACATAAACATACATTTCCTAGACCTACACAGAGTGAGGATTATCAATACTGCTGTTGATAATGGGCCCTGCCAAGGCCTCCCCAGGCCGAGATCCACCTCCACATCTGTCCCACTGCCAGGTTTTCAGGAGCAATAATACACAAAGCAGTGGTCTCTTGCCTGCTTCTGGAACACCTCCGAAGGACCTGCCTGAGGCTGTTTCTCAGTTAACTTTTTTTTTTTTTAAATAAGTAGGAGTACATTCTAAAGTAACAATAAAAAGTATAGTGAACACATAAACCAGCAACAGAGTTTTTATTATCAGGTATCGTGCACAATGGCACATGCTAGACTTTTACATGTCTGACAGCGCATCACCACAAACACCTGAGGCACAGGATGCACTAGGATGTTACGACGTCACTAGGCAATAGGAATTTCTGAACTCCACGATCATCTTCCGGACAGATGTCATCTATGTGGTCCATCATTGACTGAAATGTCATTATGTGGCACATGACTGTACTGTAACAACTCACTGCTGAATCAAGCGTGTCCTTTATGACTCCACTGGAGAGGAAGAGGACTCTTGTTCCACCAGACTTTGCCCTACGTGCCCTCCCCTCTTTGCTGATTTTGCATTGTACCCTGACACTGTAAAAAGTCTTAGCTGTAGAACTATATGCTGAGCCCTGTGAGTCCTCATAGTGGCTAATCTAACCTGGGGTGGTCTTGGGGACTCCCAACACACAGTATTTTACAAAGGGCAGGCTGCACCCGATTAGTGGGTTTTTAAACAAATATACAGAATTATGAACAGCATTCTTTTACTAAAATTTTTAAAAAATGAAACAGTAGATATAGCAGGGTGAGGTTTTTGTTTATGAAATCTGGGCAGTGGTGTGCACTAAGATGAACATAATTTGAATTGCACTTGCCTTTAACTTTACTGAATTTGTATAAGCACGGCAACTCTTAGATGCCCTGTCACTAAGTTTAGATAATCGGTGACTTCACCACCACTTATTATTTGCTAGCAATTGGAAGAAAAACTGAATAAGCTGTCTGGACTCATCACTGAATAGATGCCACCTGAATAACAGCTTTTGAATTCCTTAGAAACTACTAAAAGTGACCCCTAAGGAAGTCTTTCAGAGTCACACTCAATTGATTCCAGTCACTTGACCATCAGAGCCCCAGACTCTGAGAAGGGGTTTAGAGGCTGCAGTTGAGGGGTTTAATGGCAGGCACTGAGAGCCATGCAACAATGATGGGCCCTGCCAAGGCCTCCCCAGGCTGAGATCCAACCCCACTTGGCAAGACCAGTGGTCCTGACAGACTGACATGACAAGCACTCTTCTTAGACTGCATCACCTAGGGCGGTGGAGCACAACTGCCTTCTTAAGTGTGGGTTGCACAGAGTGACCTCATTCCAAGGGTATACAGTACAGAAAGTGGAGAAAAGGAGTGACTACACAGCAGAGAAACCGACCAAACACAACCTCAGCCAGGGATACAGGTTATCACCAACAGTCCTAAGTCGTGTTGACCACATGCACCTTTGATGTGATGTGATAAAAACAGTGCTTTACCTTTCTTATTTTCCTCCAAAAAATGCATAATCCCAGTCTAATAATGAGAAAAACATCCCAAGTTAGGATTCTACAAAATCCCAAGTTAGGATTCTACAAAAAAAACTAGCCAGCACTCCTCAAAACTGTCAGGATCATCAAAAACAAGAAAAGTCTAAGAAACTATCACAACCAAGAGTTGCCTAGGGAGACACAACAACTAGATATAATATGGTGTCCTGGATGGGTCCTAGAGAAGAAAAGGGATGCTGGGTAAAAACTAAGTAAATCGGAGTTAAAAACGAACTTCAGTTAATAATAATAGTAATGTAATAAAAGTAATAATAATAATAATGGGCAGGCATGGTGCTCACACCTGTAATCCTTGCACTCTGGGAGGTCAAGGAGGAAGAGTCACTTGAGGATAGGAGTTCAAGACCAACCTGAGCAACAGAGCAAGACCCAGTCTCTACAAAATATTTTTAAAAATTAAGCAGACATGGGGGTTCACAGCTGTGGTTCCAGCTACTCAGGAGGCTGCAGTGGCAGGACTGCTTGAGCACACAAGTGTGAGGCTGCAGTGAGCTATGAACAGTGCCAGTGCCCTCCAGCCAGGGGGACAGAATGAGATCCGTCTCAAAAATAATAGTCAGAATAATAACACACCAGCATCAGTTCATTAAGTGTAACAAAGAGACCACACTAAGATATTAAATCATGTACATTATATCATATAATTTTATAATAGTATAGATGTTAAAAACGAATTGGATGTGGCGTTTATGGGAATTCTGCTTTCTTCACAATTTTTACGTAAATCTGAAACAAAAAGTTTATTTAAAAAAATACATCTATGGAAATGAAAGTATAACCCAGCAAAACTTATTCAATGTAATGAAAGCTTCAAAATTCATAACTGTAGATGCCTGTATTAAAAAAGTTCTCAAATCAATAACCTCACTTTCCACATTAAGCAACTAGAAGAGCAAACCGAAACTAAAGTGAGGAGAAGGAAACAATGGAGATGAAAGTGGAAAGAGATGAAATCGAAATATTAAAACGAGAGAAAATCAACAAAACCAAAAGTTGATTCCTTGGGGGAAAAAAAAAATTGAAAAACCTGAAGGTAGACCAACCAAGAAATAGAGAGATGGCTCAAATGAGTAAAATCAGAAACAAAACAGAGGACATCATAGACTTCACAGAAATAAAAAGAATCATAAAGGAATAACGTGGCACGACTGCATGACAACAAGTTGGGTAACTCTGATGAAATGGACACATTCCTAGAAAAACACAAACTACTCAAGAAATTGACTGAAGAAAAGATGACCTGAATAGACCTATAAGAAACAAGCAAAGAGGCTGAATTAGTAATGTAGAAACTTCGAATAAAGAAAAACCCTGGCCAACATGGCTTCAGTGATAAATTCTATCAAACATTTAAATAAGAATACCAACCCTTCACAAACTTTAAAAAAAAAAAAGAAGTAGAAGGAATATTTCTCAATTCGTTCTATGAGGTATCACCTTGATATCAAAACCAAAGATATCACAAGAAAACCACAGACAAAATTCCTTACAAATATGTAAGCAATTATCAATAAAGACTAGCAAACTGAGTCCAGCAACATATAAAAAGAATTATACACTGTGGCCAACTGGGAATTAGCCCTGGAATGCGGAGTTGATTTAACATATTATAGAACAAAAAACAGAAACTACATGATCAATCACAATAGACGCAGAAAAAGCATTCAACAGAATCTAATGCCCTTTCAAAATAAAAACGCGACACAAATTAAGAATAGAAGGAAACTTCCTCAATCTGATAAAGGACATCTATGAAAAACTCACAGCACACAGCACATTTAATGGAGAAAAATGGAAAGCTTCACACCTCATATCAATAGCAAGACAAGGATGTGCACTCGTGAGACTTCTATTCAACACTGTACTAGAGGTACTAACTGTGGTAACTAGGCAAAAATAAATAAATAAAAGGCATCCATACTGAAAAGGAAGATGTAAAACTATCTCTATTTGCAGATGATCTTTCCATTTTACACTCTAAAGAATCTACCAAAAAGATTATTAGAATAAATGAATTCAGCAATATGGTAGGACACAAGATCTATAAAAATCAACTGTATTCCTATAGTCTAGCAATAAACCACCAAAAATGAAATTAAGGAAACAATTCAATTTATAACAGCATGAAAAAGAGTTAAATACCTAGGAATAAATTTAACAAAAGAAGTATAAGATATGCATACTGAAAACTATAGAAAAATGTTGACAAAATGAAAGAAAATCTAAATAAACAGAAAGATATTCCATGTTAGAAGAGATTCAAAGACTTATTGCTGAGACTGCAACACTCCCCAAATTTATCTATATATTCAATGCCATTCCTACTAAAATCCCACAACTTTTTTGGGGGGGAGAATGCTGACTGAAATAGATAAGCTAATTCTAATATTCATAGGGAAATGCAAGGATCATGGATGGAATGGCCAAAACAACAGAGAGAAAAACAAAGCTGGAGACTCATACTTTCTGATTTTAACTTCAAATCTATGGTATAGTATAGTATAGACAGTATAGTACTGATACAAGGATATACATATAGATCAATGGAACACAACTAAAAATCCGGAAATAAACCTTCATGCTTATGGTCAAATTATTTTTGACAAGAGTGACAAGGCAGTTCAATGGGGATAGAATAATCTCATCAACAAACAGCACTGGAACAACTGGATATCCAAACGCACAAGAACAAACGTGGACCCCTAACTCATAAAAATTAGCACACAATGAATGGTAGGCCTAAACGAAGAGCTAAAATTACAAAACTCCTAAAGAAGATATAAGGGTAAATCATCATGACCATGGATTATGCAACGGTTCTTAGATAAGCACAAATGACAAAAGAAATAAACTAGCCTTCATGAAAATGAACCATTACGAAAAGAAATGACAAAACAGAGACGAGAAAATGTTTGTGAATCATATACCTGACAAAGGACTTGTAACCAGAACACACAAAGAACTCTTGCAATTCAACAACCAAAAGACAACCCATTTTTAAAATGGGCAAAGAATGTGAATAGATACTTCTCCAAAAAAACATACAAAATCTTTAATCCTCAAGGAAATGCAAATAAAAACAATGAGATAACCCTTCAAACCCACTAGAATGGCTAACATGAGACAGACACTAACAAGCATTGACGAAGAGGTGATGTGGTGAAATTGAAATCTGAAATTGTGCAGTCACTCTGAAAAACAGTCAATCTGCTGTTCCTCAAAACAGAGTTACCATATGACCCAGCAATTCTATTTCTAGATATATACCAAGAGAAATGAAGACATATGCCCATGTACAAACTCTATCAGTCCATTTTCATGCTGCTGATAAAGACATATCTGAGACTGGGCAATCTACAAAAGAAGGTTTAACTGAACTTACAGTTCCACATGGCTGGGGAAGCCTCACAATCATGGCAGAATGGAAGGAGGAGCAAGTCACATCTTA